CTGAAATTGCAACCTAGTAAATGTATGTTTCTACGTAAAGAGGTGTTATATTTAGGGCACGTGATCAGCAAAAACGGGGTAACGCCTGATCCAAACAAATTAAGTTGTATTAAAGAATATCCGAGACCACTAAACGAGAAAGACGTAAAGTCATTCTTAGGTTTATTAAATTATTACCGCCGATTCGTTGATAACTTTGCCAAAATAGCAAAACCTCTTACTAGCTTATTAAAGAAAAACACACCGTTCGTGTGGACGGACATGTGTGAAGACGCATTCCAAGAATTAAAAAACGCGTTAATGAATCCACCTCTACTTATCTACCCTAATTGGGAAAACGGGAATTTTAACCTCATGACCGATACAAGCCAATACGCAATTGGAGCGGTCTTGTCTCAAGGTGACGTACCTAGAGATCAACCCATAGCTTACGCAAGTAGAACTCTAGATACCGCCGAAACAAACTATAGCGTAATACAAAAAGAATTGTTAGCGATAGTATGGGATGTAAAGTATTTTAGGCCTTATTTATACGGGAAAAAATTTAAAATAATCACCGATCACCGTCCATTAACGTATTTATTCAATATAAAAGACGTTTCGTCTCAGTTAATGCGATGGCGATTACAGCTCGAGGGATACGATTACGAAATAATCTATAAAGCAGGCTCACAACATTCGAACGCGGATTGCTTATCACGTATACATGTTGTTACCAATGATGAGCCAATTAGCGATTTCGAAGAGTTTAAAAAAGCAGAAGCTAAACCGATTTTTAATTCCAAAATAACTGAAATAGAGGGAAGTATAAAACACGCGCAAAATAATGAAAATATAATGTTACCTATTTCAAATGATAAAATAATAACGCATCCAGCGATAAGAGATGTAATAAACAATAACGATGTTCTGTGTAAAGTAAATGTAGTTGGTGACGGATTTTATGTCAAACAAATAAAATATGTATGTACAAATGTTAACTCTTTTAGTTAGGGTTAATATGAAAAAGTATCGGCAGCGAATTCGCCTACTGTTTGGGGAAGATGGATTCACGGACGATGAGAAGACAATCCAAGAGCAACAAACACTGAAACAACGAATAAAAGATGCACTGGGAAGTGACAGTGAAACCGAGGAACCGACCGAACACTGGTCTGACACCAGCATAGGCGCCGACGAGGAAGAAGACACGGTCGACCTAACATGCAACGATCTGGAGGCAGACCTAAAAGACTTGCAATCGGAAGAATACAGACGGAGCACATCAATTTCGACGAAAGAAAACATGCAAAAGAGTTAGCTCAATTCCAGAGACAAGTGGCCGCACGTATCAATAAGAGGAAGTACAATGATGATATTGGGCAGTACGGAGTCGAAGTGTTTCAAAAGGCAGAACACTTACTTCAACGAACAAATCTTATAGAAGCGACAATAACATCACTATCAGCAGTATCAGAGAGAATCAGTGACCTACCAACACCAGCACAACACGACAGTATCACCGAAACCACACCACGACTAACCAGGGCCAAACGTCGCACCGCGGCCAAACGAGCTTGGTACAAACGGAAAAAGTAGCCACCATGTACAATCCAACAAAAAAATGTAAATAGTTTTTTTTCTTCTTCCTTTTCCTCCCAAAGGAAAAAATCATCACAAAAAAAAATGGGACTATATAACGAACACGAAATATACATGACGCGCCACCTAACAGAAACACGACACAATACAACAGCCGCTCATCAGTGTCAATAGAGTGCGCGCTTTTCC